CATTTATTAAATCACCCTACGTTTTCATCCTAGGTATGAAATTTTTTGGAAAATATCTAATTGGAAATTATTAGAAAAAGTACAATTAAACTTAGAAACTATAGACACAAATATTCTGAAATTTTGCAGACCTATGCATAAGATCGTTGTACTTATTTATTATAAATATATAATCAAAATTTAGCTGCTTGTTGCCTCCAAAAATTTTTGTGAGTGTCTAGACTTGTGGTTTATAGATACAGCCATATTTATTTACAATTGCTATCAATAATACCTTAAAACAATTGATGAATGAAGTAATTAACCGAACATAATTTTGATTGATTACATTACAAAAGCCTTGTCAACAACTGATTATTATTTACGGTTTAATTAAAATTAAAACATCTTTAATCTAATTGCAATTCAGTTTACGTTTTTAACTGAAGTCAAAAGTAGCCCATTTGTTTAAATGTAATTGGGCCTCGATCTGTTGAAGACCTAATTAATAAACAAAAAAAAAATAATAATAATAAAATATAGTCACTTTAAATACAACTAAAGTATACATTCGCTGCTCATTTTCTAAAATACCTAATAACAATTTGAATTTGCATTAAAACTATCAATTTTCATAATATAAATAAAACAACCAGTGGGTGGAAACGACTACTTATTGGACTTTCGTTTTCTACTTATAAGGATTTAGACAACGCAATGCAAATCTGCAGACTGCAGTTTCGACCTCCTCAGGTCTCATCAGTAGAGCATATCTCAATGGTTGTCCTGTACCGACAAATTTCTTTTATTTCTCGCTAACGTTAGCTTATATAACTATAAAGATAAATATGCGAAATGCCAGTGCTAACTCGTCGCATTCAAGTTTTAAAATTGTATCAGCAACTATGGAAAAATTAGCTGAAATAAATGCCATTTGAGATGGCAGGTCTGTTTTAGCAAAAATTATTTTAGAATCTTTAATAGAAATAGCATTATTTTACAGCTTATTAACAAAATCTTTAATGTCATTGTAGTTTTGGTATACAATATAACTGCATTTAACCATGTTCCCCACCTAGTTACAACAGGTTGTAGTGGTAATGGTAAATTGATAAAATTATACTCAATGGTGATTTAATAAAAAAAAAATTAACACTATTGGATTGGCTAATACTTATTTGCATTATGAGTGCGGTAGGTAGCATTTTGCAGGTTGTATTCAAATTAACACATGTAAAGATAACATAATAAATACAAACACCAATCATATACCCTCCACCCCTCATTGGGAAACACGATTAAATTATAAAATTAATAACATTAGAAAACAACTAGGTCAAATAACACAGTACCTTAGAGGAGTTAAAACACCACATATCATGACATGTATGCATTCGATACTGACCAACAATAATTTTCATCAAACTGATTACGATGAGTACAACACAACACTATCCCAAATTAAAGATACCCTATTACAAAAGCTTTCCTTATATAGCAAAAGACTTAAAAGATACAAACAATCACATCTCAGAAAAATTGATAACACTACATTTTTAAACAACGAAAAACTATTCTATCAACATTTAACTAATTCAAGCAAAACTCAATTATCCGGTGAACTTCCAAGTTCACAGGATGTAACAACATTTTGGTCAAAACTTTGGTCTCAAGAATTTGAATTTAACCAATCTGCCAAATGGATTCCTCATATATCCCATAAACTATCCACAGTTACACCAATGAATGATCATCATTCATCAGATAACACTTGCCGAATTAATAAATACCACCAATAAGACACACAACTGGAAATCACCAGGACCACACAAAATCCATAATTTTTGGATAAAAAAATTAAATTGTGTACATATTCATTTACTACATCACTTAAATCAGTTCCTTCTTGACCCATCCTCCTTTCCAACATTCTTATGTCATGGTGTAACATACCTAAAACTTAAAGATAACGACACAAAAAATCCATTAAAATACAGACCTATCACATGTTTACCGACAATCTATAAAATATTAACCTCATGCATTACACAAAAAATCTATCAACACTGTTTTAACTCTGACATCATTAATGAAGAACAGAAAGGATGTATTAAAGGATCCTTTGGTTGCAAAGAGCAATTAATCATAGATTCCATCATCTGTGAACAAGCTAGAAAAGAAAACCGAAACATATATACTGCTTTTATTGATCATAAGAAAGCTTACGATTCTGTCCCTCATTCCTGGCTATGTAAAATTCTGGAATTATACAAAATTGATACTAAAATCTGCACTTTTCTCAAATGTTCCATGGAATTTTGGAAGACCACCATCCAAATAACTTTAAATGAACAAACAATTCAATCAGATCCAATAATGATCCGAAGAGGAATTTTTCAAGGCGATTCTCTTAGCCCGTTATGGTTCTGCTTAGCAATAAATCCCCTCTCCGATATCCTGAACAGCTGCAATTATGGGTTCAATATAAGAATTAACAAACAAAGATAAAACAGAATAAATCACTTGCTGTATATGGATGACATAAAAATATATGCAAGTATAAGTACACAAAATCAGTTAAAAAACCTATTAAATCTGACTGAACAAATTTCGGTGATATTGGTATATGTTTTGGTATTGAGAAATGTAAGACCCAAGAAATCAGAAAAGGCGTCCGACACCAAGTACCATATATAACCCAGAATAACGAAATAATCGAAGCCCAAGAACGAAATGATACATACAAATATCTGGGTTTCTGTCAATCCTCCCACATCAATCATACCAAAACGAAAACACGGTTGAAAGATCAATACTACCTAGCGAGATTAAAATTAATATTGAAGACACAGTTAAATGGAAAAAATTTAATGAAGCAGTAAATACATTCTGCGCTCCACTGCTAACACATTCTTTTGGAGTCATTAAATGGTCCAAAACTGATTTTGAAAATCTTCACACAGTGTAGAAGGCATCATCCAAAATCGTCGATTGAAAGATTCTCATTACCAAGACAGAATGGAGGAAGGGGTTTCCAGAACCTAGAAAACTTACATCAGAGACAAATTTCAGATCTGAAGAAGTATTTCTTTCTTAAAACGAGCAGAAAGAAATGAAATGTTTCGCACCATCACAAGAGCAGATTTGAACCACACACCCTTAAATCTGTCGAACACCGAAGAAATCCACACCCCCCACACAACAGACAAAATAATAAGTGGGCTAAAACAAAAACAACTACATGGAAAATTCTACAAAGACTTAGAAGAAACTCATGTCAATAAGAAGATGTCATTGATTTGGTTAAAAAAATCAAGTTTGTATGCCGAAACAGAAGGATTGGTGTTTGCTATTCAAGACCAAGTAATCAATACCAAGAATTACAGAAAATACATCATCAAAGATCCGAATATAAGAAACGACTGCTGTCGCCTCTGTAAAGCAAAACCTGAAACGATCCAGCACATAATCTCCTCCTGCGGCATCCTGGCACAAACTGACTACAAAGCTAGACACGACAACGCAGCCAAAATCATTCACAAATAATTAGCAACACTTATGAACTTAATCGAAGATACGACACTCTATTACACTTACATTCCATCTCCGTTCCTTGAAAATAACAAATACAAATTATACTGGGATCGCACAATACTTACAGACTTAAACATTACAGCTAACAGACCAGACATCATACTTATCAAAAAACACACGAACGAAGCCATTCTCATTGACATTGCTATTCCTAACACAAACAACATTATTCAAACACACCACACCAAGATTTCAAAATATTTACAATTATCAATAGAAATGAAATCCATGTTAAATCTTAAAAAAAATTCAATTCTATCCTTAGTTATCTCTAATGTAGGTGTAGTCCCAAATAGCTTAGTTGAGAATTTAAAGTCTTTGGATTTGAATGATTCAATAATTGTCAAAATTCAAAAAGCTGTTTTGTTAGGAACATGTCATATTGTTCGTAAGTTTCTCGAACAGTCTGATCATGTCAGTCAGATTAGATTAGCACCAGTAGGTCAGAGTAGTGTAGGTCACTTTCCAAGTGATGCGCGGATAAATGATCGGTAGTTACGCTAGACTTTTGGGGATGGGGTGAGATTAGAGAATAATAGCAGACTAATTTGTATGCTGTAATTCTAGAATCTCGAAAGTTGTTAATCTAATCAATGCATATAATTACTTGGTCTTAGTACCCGTAATGATAGAAGTCTTGCCTGAATGCCGTTGATTTCCGGGTCTGTGGTGGGTCTTAATATAGTAAAAAATAAATCTGACAAATTCTAAAATATGACAATGATGAAATTTAGATACCTTACTTACCGTTTTGCAGCACACTCCGCGAAAAACAGATTGAGAATTTTCATCTAACGCTAGTTCGAAATACTCTTTTATCCAGCTGTAGACACTTGCAGAAACTTTTGGCATTTTAGACTCGATGTTCACTGTTCAGTACCAAATTAAGGACTGACAAATTTAAGAATGAAACGGGTAAATGACAAATTGAATAATTGCTAGAAAGATGCTCCCGGAGAGTTAAATGTGGGAGAATTAAGATAATTTTACTAATAAACGAAATGTCTCTAGTTCGGATTTGGGTGTCTTAATTACTGGTGTTTCCAGGTAAAGATTCTATCGAAATGTCTTGGTATTTGCTGAACAAAGGTATAATTTGTAATAATAATAATAATAAAATATGCACTTCATCGGAAAATATGCAGTAAGATTAAAAGAATATTCATTTTGCATACAATTCGAGCCTGACTAAGACTGATTTATTTGTGTTAAATATTTCGATAGACTTATCTACAATAACGAAGTAATTGTATTGTCTTTTATTCAGTGTTTCTGCAAAGAACTGGAAAAGAACATCACACTTATAAATAATAAAATAATAATGGATTGTTATTGGATTGTAATCTCTCCCCATTTTTTTTGATAGCATTATAATTTGAGGATGTATCTTGGTGTGTTATTATTGGATTAATTATTTATGTACTCAATTAAATATCATGCACGTTATATATTTATACAACCATCGTACAAAATAAAATACATAGTTCCATTTATTAGGACTAAGCTTCTACACAGCTTCTAAAATCTCCAACCAGCTGGTTCCATTTCACGTGGCTGCTGGACACATATTTTGTTGTACAAGCGTTGAGTTGACTTTCGTACATGCCAAACTGGCCCACATCTCTCGCCAGGTCATTGGCAATTTCACCCTGAACGCGAGCGTTTGCCTGAACGAGGACATACACTGGATTACTTAGACAGTCATCATCCAATGGTCCACAGTTCAGGATCAATTTTTCGTTTTGGTATACGTCACCTAAATAACGTTCCGCTAGTCCAGTACTAGCCCCAGATATATATGTTAGAATTGGATCTATAAGATTCTGTACGCATTCATTCAAACCTACTGAATTTTCTCTGCGGACGTCGACAATTAATTGTTCGAAATTGTTAACGCAAATGGTTATATCGATTCTCGCGTCTTCAGCTGCTTGTTTGATTGATCTGTATTCGGACAAAGCTTCTTCCAGTGTACTGACGATTCCTGAATTACCGCTGATAATGGCTGCTGCAATTAGGGAATCAGCCGTTTGAGCCAAAGCTGTGTAGTTGTTTATAAAAGCACTGCTCAAGCCCTCGTTTACTTTTTCCCGATATTCGTTTAGTGATGTTTCAGCCTGATCCCACATACTATCTTGAGCCACTGCAGTTGTTAACATCTACATGGAAAGAAAACTTAAATACGAGTTGACAGCAGATTTTAATTTAAATTTTTTTTAAGAAATTCTATAAAATCGATTTTTCCCAAATTTTAATAAAATTACATGGTGTGTGATTTGATGACAAATGTATACTATAAACAAAATAATAAAATTACATACCTGCAATTGATATGCCATTGCGAGCAGAAATGAGACGGTGTTTACTTTCTTCATGATGAGTTATTTTCTAAACCGCTTAAGTAAAGCTAACAAAAAAAGATTACTAGCTCGGTATTTATACTACTGTACGTTGCTTTATCTGGGACTAATTTTCATTAATTTTAACGATATTTTGTATTGTATGATACAATCTTGCATTCATGGGTAATCAATAATCATGCACTCCGGGAATTGTTTTTTCTAAGATAACACATTTCGTTTGACAAGAAATGACGAATTTATTATTTTTAGTCCATTTTAAATTATGTTTTTCCGTTATGTTCATTTCGTTTTGCAGTAACAAAAGATATGTTTCTTTCTTTGTTAAATGTTTTAAAAAATAATTTTTCATCGTCTTTAACTTTTAAGACTTTTAAAACAGACAATACTAATTAATTTTGGATAATTTCTCATAATGCTATCTAGGAATCTCCTAAAAAAATAAAAACAAAAATTTTATAAAAGGAAAAGTATTATATTGCACTTTCAAACCCTCCCTTTTTTATTTTAATTAAACAACATCTCTTCCTTATTTTATCATCCACAATGTAGAAAAACATCCAAATGTTTGTAGTATATTATAATATAAGTAAAGCTCGAAATTATATGCAGAAAAAAACATGTAAATATGCGCATATACCTATAGGTATGCAGAGAAATTTGTCATTATATGCAAAAATTGCTAAAATATGCAAGAAATATATGCAAAGTATGCAAGAAAAATTACTTTTTTTACACATTAATATTTTATTTCATTTCTTACAACACTTATAACTTAGATAATACATACTTGGACTTAAATTACACATTTACAAATTAAAACTGACTATGCCGATGTATATATTTTTTTAATTTTCTATTTGCTGTACGGGTTCATTTAGGGGTACTTTTTGTTTTTCCAATTTTGTTAATGTTACCAATTAATTCGTAGTTGTTTTTTATGAAACTGAAGTTCTGATTTAATTTAGAACTAGTTAAAATCTTTTTATCTTCCTTGATTATTGCAGATGAACTATCATCAAATTTTGACATGATTTCTTTCATCTCACACGAATCTTCGAAATGAAATAAAGCTACGTCAAGCCATGTATCCGATCGTGTAATAACAGGTTTAGGAGGCAATGGTACATCTGAGATATATGTATCTTCGTATACTTGTACTCTTGAAGGATTCTTAACAAAAACCTTTTTCATATCACAATTGAGTGAGTGCTTGTTCCGAACAGTTGCTCAATCTGTGCTAATTTTGGAGAGATTGACTTTACAAAATTGTGAGTTTTTCATTGTTGTACTACTTTAAGTTGTTACTTACACTGTAGTGATTAGTTTTTACTAATTGATAACTTTTTGTGTCGGTGGCAAGAGACCGCGGCTGTGCCGCGGCCTTTAGCCGGGCTCACGCCGGTGGGTATTTCCCGAAAGGGAAAAGTGTATTATTAGCATTTTTTTTTTTTTATACCCGATAGCTATGGCCGAAACTGCGTTTCAATTCCCTGCTAAAGACCAAGCAATTGTGATGAATGCAGTAAGTGAATTAAAACTTACTGACTATGTAATTGCGATTGGTAACCTGATGACTCCTAAAGATATACTTTTTGCATCTCGTATGTCCAACGATCGAGTTTGTATTTACTTGAGTAACAAGGCACTTGTAGATCAAATAGTATCTGAACAACCTGCACTCATTATCAACGGAATTGAAATTAAAATTCGTCGGTTATTAAACCCAGCTAAACGTATCATCTTATCCAATGTATGCCTCACGATTCCTCACTCCATTGTTGAGAATCAAGTTAAAATGTTGGGTTTTACAGCTGTCTCGCCTATGACTTTTCTCAGAGCCGGCATCCAGAACAGTGCTTTTTCACATGTGCTCAGCTTCCGTCGACAAATCTACGTACAACCTTCATCCATCAGTCTCCCATCTTCTGTCGGTTTTAAGTATGATGATACTAACTATAGACTTTTCTTAAGTTTCGACGATGTCTGCTTTAAATGTAAAGCAGCTGGTCATTATGCAGTTGACTGTCCGAATGTCATCGAGAAATCCACTTCTATAGTTTCCCCCTCTGAAAACGCCAAACAATCTGTAGACCAAGTTTATCCCAGTAATAAACGACAAACTACTAACGATGATCCAGATGAAGTAACTCCTTTGGATCTGACTCAAATGTTCCGTGATAAAGATGCTCGTGAAAAGAGAAAGCCCAAAAAAAATGAAAATTAGTGACTCACTTGAAAGTCTCACGTCTACATCTGAACTGTTGTCACCTGTTAGACAATTAATAGACAATTCTGGGGTACAGTATCCCGTCGACTTCAACCAGTTCGTAGAGTTTATGGATAAGGTGATAGGAGATAGCAACGTGATGGATCTTATTAACAAATACACAACTGATGTACAGGGAATGTTAAATTTGTTATATGACGTATACCCTCTTGTAGAGCACAAAAGCATCAAAAATAAATGTTTAAAAGCCCAACGTAAACTGAAAAAGGCATACGCAAACTTTGTAGATCAAACATCAGCTGATCCCGTTCCTCCAACAGAGTCGTTTCTAATTTCTCCTCTTCAAGATGAATACTAATAACTTTTCTATCATTTTGTAACCCTTTAATAGCATATACTAACATAGCATCTTTGCCTGCAAAATATGATGAATTCTGTTCTTTTGTTGTCTGGAATAAACCCGCTATATTTTTAATCACTGAAAGTTGGTTAAATGTAGCAATACCCGATTCTCTATACTCTTTACCAGGTTATTCAATATACAGGACTGACCGAAAAGGTAAACGTGGTGGGGGTGTATGTATCTTTGTATCTCATTCGATTACTTCTGTATTCAAAGTCACTTCTCTTGATGTCAACATTGATAAAATCGAAACTCTCTTTCTTAATTTCAAAATTAACACTAGTTCGCTTCTACTTGGGTGTATTTATAGGCCTTCATCTACTGTTATTAATGATGACTTAGTGTTATTTAATACTCTGGATCGCTTATCTGAAAAATACACTCATTTATTGCTATTTGGCGATTTTAATATGCCCGAAGTAAACTGGATGTCTTGTCTGTCAAATCCTCGCTCCACTTCAGAGCAATTGTTGGTAAAATTATTGCAGAACTCGCATCTTGTCCAGATGGTAAATCAACCGACGAGGTATAGACAAAACCAAGATCCATCCAGATTAGATCTTATTCTATCATCCGACGAAAATCTGTTCACAAACATACAGTATTTGGATCCGATTGGTAAATCGGACCATGTAGTTCTTTCAGGACAACTACAGTTATGCTACAAAGTGATACCGCATACGGTCGTCAAAAATAAATCCGTCATTAATTTTGTTGAAGTTAACTCCGAATTTGCTAATCTAGACTGGACTTCAATTTTAACGAGCTCAAACATTTTGGAAAATTGGGCCGTTTTCAAAATTACGTTCAACACGGTAGTAGCAAAACATACGGTAATATTTACATCGAAAAAATCTGGTACAAAGCCGTGGATCAACTCGAGAATATTAAAAATGGTTAAGGAAAAACGTCGCCTTTGGAAAATTTACAAACGTTCTAGAAATCAAAGTGATTATGTATCACACCGAACATATTCGAATAGATTGTCGAATACAATAAAGAAAGCTAGAATTTCATTTGAAAATAACGTTGCTAACTCAAAGGCTCCCAAACTTCTGTACAAATATATAAGGTCAAGTATTAACGGATTGGCAGAAACTCCACAACTCAAAAATCATAACGGTGACCTAATTACTGATAATTATGTTACTGCCGAAGTTTTCGCGGATAGTTTCTCAGCAAACTACTTGGTGGAACCACCTATTCATTCTTCGCTGACCTCTGATTCCATTGTTCATTCTTCTATTCTCATGGATGTAGAATTCTCGGAGGACAACATATCAAAAAAAATCAACTCGTTGAAAGAAAACACCTCTCCAGGACCAGATGGACTATCTGCTACTATGCTACGAAACTGTGCTCAATCTCTATGTAAACCTCTCAGCATTCTGATGACTCAATCTTTTAAATCGGGTTCTCTTCCTTCTGATTGGAAGCTAGCTAATGTGAAACCTATTTATAAAAAAGGAGACAAATACTGTGCGACTAACTATCGACCTATAAGTCTCACTTCTCTCGTCGTAAAAATGATGGAATCGATTATTTGTGATAGTCTTCGTGCGTTTCTTAATCAGCAAAACGTCATACCAACTGAACAACATGGTTTTGTGTCGGGAAGATCTACTACTACTAATCTGCTGAGTTGTGTAAACGATTGGACTAAAAATTTTGATCGAGGAATACCAACTGACGTTATCTATTTTGACTTTGCAAAGGCATTTGATAGAGTCCCAATTATTACTTATATTAAAACTAAAATGGCTTGGTGTCTCAGGTAATCTGTTGGTTTGGATTAAATCCTTTCTGTCTGAGCGATTGTTTAGAGTAAAAGTTGGTGAGGTAGTGAGTGGTCACAAGCAGGTAATAAGTGGTGTTCCGAAGGGTTCTGTATTGGGACCCCTCCTGTTTCTTGTATACACAGCCGACTTAAGAAAGCATATTCGGTCACCATGTGCGTTTTATGCTGATGATTTTAAAATCTATAACTCGTCCTGTAAACTAAATGTAATTGCGACGGATATATTAGCTGTGACGGAGTGGAATAAAAAATGGCTCATTCCTTTGAACATTAGCAAATGTGTTGTCTTGCACATTGGCCCCCATAATCCCAGAGCTGACTACTTCATATATGGTGTTCCACTGACTAAAGTAGATGCACAGAACGACTTAGGAGTAACAATTACCACCGATTTAACGTAGTCACAACATATCACTAAAATAGTAAGTAAAGCCAACAAAATGGTATATCTATTAAGACGTACGTTTAAAAATCCTAACCATGACACAGTTGCAAAACTACACAAAACATACGTAAGGCCAATCCTGGAGTATTCTAATTTAGTGTGGTATCCAATTTTAGTTAGGGATAGTGATCTGTTAGAAGGCGTTCAGAGGCGCATGACTCGATTACCTTATGGCATTTTGCGACCATCGTATGAACAGAGACTCGTAATCATGAAATGCCCTGCATTGGGTCAAAGAAGAACAAGAGGAGACGCCATTGCAACATTTATTGCACTCATATTAAATGTTCCTCCGACGAACAGCATGTTTACTTTGAATTCTGATGTGCGTACTAGAGGTCATCAGTTCAAGCTCCAGAAAGAAGCGTTTCGCACGAGAACCCGCCAGTTCTTCTTCTCGAACCGTATTTTCGACACATGGAACTCTCTGCCATTACAAGTAGTGTGCAGCCCAAGTGTACTTAGTTTCAAGAAAAATTTTGATCATTTTATGAATATGTAAACTATTTGTATTGTAATATTTGTATTTGTTGAATTTAATAAAGTTAAGAACTATTGTTGCTCACGCGGGCATAACAGAGTGTGAGCTCTCTGCTCGAGCGTGCAATAATAATATTAATAATAATAATAATAATAATATTCTTAATTAATTCATTTACCAATGGAAATTGATTTTGTACTTCTCCCACTATTCTGTTTACACCGTGAGCGAGACAAATGTAATGACACAAATTTAGATAAAATACTTTTAAGTGGGTTCCAGCTTTGACTATACCGGGTGTCCCACGTAACACTTTCGGGCGCAATAGCGGTATTTTTGAACGGAGTGTTATGAAATTTGAAATGTATGTATTTTGATAGGTGCGGATTAATATGAACCGGTAAGAATAACCATTATCTTGAAAAAGAAAAAAAAAAAGATCTCCGAAATACGTCTGGTTATACAAGAAATCATAAATTGTTGCACAAATAATTCCAAAAAGTATTAAAGCATAGGTAGCTATGAAACAAAAAACTGCTATCCTCGCATTTTGGACGCCCTTGCGGGAATTTGATACCTGTTTGCTAAGCGTTATTTTATGAATTTTAAGAAAATACTAATTTTCAGTTGCTCCACTACAACCTTTTCGAAGGTGCAAAATTGCTTTAGGTCCAGGAATTAATTCTAACTTGAATGGAAATAATTTTGCTAGGTGTATTTAACACTTTGTTTTTTTCACTCGTTTTAGGTCTTATACACTTCCCGTATCTTGAAATAAGTTTATTATTCTCAGTATTTTGAATTTGGTAAATTCGTCATCAGGATACCGTTCGATAAGAGTCCTGATTGTTTCATCTAGGTCTGTACGGCATTCTCCGTAGGTTAAAATGATTTCTGTTTTATAATTAAAGAAAAGCGAACCAGTTTCAATAACTTGTCAGATTTTGACAAAAATGTCAGGGGTGTACAAAATTGAACTCAACGATGCCGGCAATTGTTTTGCACCGACAGCACTATTGAATTTAAAAAAATTGGTCTAAAGAGTTTAGACAGTACTTCCCTCGCTGTCGGAAACTTGACGACTGCATGCCTATTGTGTTTTTTTTCTCATTACATTTTTGTGGTGGGAATTTAAAAAAAAAATTGCGATGACGTCATCAACATTTTTGCAAGGACACATATATCAGCTGGGATAGATGTAGTGTAATACTAAGAATAAAATTATCATATTCTCAAATTTTCGGGAAAATGAATTGGGTCGTTTTGAATACTGATTTGTAATAATCAATAAAATAACGAAACAATTTACTCACGTATACGTATCAGAGGCAACTGAAAATCGTGTATGTATAAACATTCTTAATTTAAGATGACAGGCGTAACAGCATACGTGAGAGTCAAACAGAGAAACGGTAAACAAAACGACCATCGGTTTTATTGCTTCGACTTCCGCTTATTATATAAAACATTGGGTTTTATTTTAATTCTTGACGGTGAAATTCACAATTGGTTGATTATAAACATGTCTATTTCACATTCGCGGAACCAAGTGAGCGCATAAAACAAATGCAGGTCTGTAATGTTAAAGTCGATCTAAATAAGCGTGCTACCCTTATGTTTCAACCGAGTTTTTCCTTTAACAAATTTTGTGTCTACCAAATTGGGTTGGTTGGGGTGTAATACTAATAATAAGTGTTGCCTTTAATTTAATCAATAAAATAAATTGACTTCATTAATTTTTTTGGACCACCTCTTAAGAAAATCTAAAAAATATGAATGGAATGATAAATCACAAGTACAAACTCATCATATTTTTTGCATTTTAGATAGGATTTATTCAGCAAAATTTAAGGGTGACGTCATCAATTTTTTTAGGAGGGATGAACAGATACATTTTGAACAAAAGTTTACCATGCTTATAATAACTTTAAAATATTCCCAAGATTTCAAAGCATTCGGTTTTGTAATTCCTGATTAAATCGATAAAATAAAATAAATTCACGCCTTCATTAATTTTTTTGAGTCACCCTGCATATGCAAATCCAAAAATATGAATGGAATGATAAATCACAAGTACAGACTCATCATATTTTGTACATTTTAGATACGATTTATTCGGCAAACTTTTGAGTTGACGTCATCAGTTTTTTGTAGAAGATAACCAAATATATTTTGACTAAAAATTTATTATGCTCTTTATAACCTTAAAACATCTGCAAGATTTCAAAGCATTCGGTTTTGTAGTTCCTGATTAAATCAATAAAATAAATTTACGCATTAATTAATTTTTTTGAGTCACCCTGTATATGCAAATCGAAAAAATTTTAATGGAATGATAAATCACAAGAAGAGACTCACCATATTGTGTACATTTTAGATAGGATTTATTCAGCAAAATTTTGTGGTGACATCATACATTTTTTAGGGGGGACGACCAAATACGTTTTGATCAAAAATTTACCATGCTTATGATCATTTTAAAATATCTTCAAGATTTCGAAGCATTCGGTTTTGTAGTTCCTGAGTAAATCAGTAAAATAAATTTACGCTTTCATTTATTTTCTTGAATCACCCTGTATATGCAAATCCAAAAAATATGAATGGAGTGATAGATCACAAGTACAGACTGATCATATTTTGTACATTTTAGATATGATTTATTCGGCAAATTTTCGAGCTGACGTCATCAAGTTTTTGGAGGGGATAAGCAAATATATTTTGACTAAACATTTATTATGCTCTTTATAACCTTACAACATCTGCAAGATGTCAGAGCATTCCGTTTTGTAGTTCCTGATTAAATCAATAAAATATATTTACGCATTCATTAATTTTTTTGAGTCACTCTGTATATGCAAATCCAAAAAATATGAATGGAGTGATAAATGACAAGTACAGGCTCATCATATTTTGTACATTTTAGATATGATTTATTCCACAAACTTTTGAGCTGACGTCATCAAGTTTTTGGAGAGGATAAGCAAATATTTTTTGACTAAAGATTTATGATGCTCTTTATATCCTTAAAACATCTGCAACATTTCAAAGCATTCTGGTTAGCAGATTAAAAATTAAATTTCAAAATGTTGTTTTATAATTTTGATTTTTTTTCCAAAAATCTGGACGTTACGGGTGAAAAGTCGATTCAGAGTTGTAAACTACATGTGTAGGACTATGTTATTTTATACAATTGAAAACCCATTTACTATGTACAATTTTGAAGTGACGTCATCGCATTAGTGGTGGGGATGATTAGACAAATTTTGGTTAGCGTTTTAGCATCTACATGATATTCTTAATATAAGTACAAAATTTCACAACAATCGGTCGAGTACTTTCGGAGATTATCTATCTAATAAAAATCCGGGACGGCAGACGGACAGACGGACAGACGGACAGACGGACGGACAGACGGACGGACAGACGGACGGACAGACGGACAGACGGACAGACAGACGGAAATGGGAGACCTATTTCTTCGTCTTCTAGGGGTCATGAAAGATCGAGAAAACGTAGAAGTAGAGAGTCGGCCGACGGACTCGATTACAATACTTCCTTTGCTTACGCTCGGGAAGTAAAAACAGATTAATTAATTTTTGCGTTTTTATTAATGTAATTCTTTTAAACAAAAACAGTGATTTAATTAATTTTTTGCACACAGGCGTTATTTTAGTTGCTCAAAGTTATAACGTAATTTTGTGTTATCGTTTTTTGTACGATAAAATGATGTTTTTTTGTTATCAGCCTAATCTTTACCTATTATATTACACCTGTCTTAAATTTCATAAAAATCCCTTTAAAAATAAGTTATTGCACCCGAAAGTGTTACGTGGGACACCCGGTATACGACGCAGCATCAAAAAGCATTAATACGGTTTTATTAAATGGTAGGTATAACATTGGGTAAAAATATGTTGGCTAAACTTTGTTGGACAAATCTACTCGTACTTATGGATATATTATTCGCCCTTTCTAACTCAGCAATTAAATAAGAATCTGGCGCAAAGTTTGCAGATAAAGTACCAATTAATAAATTTGTTACATATCTGCCGCATACATCTGTTGTTTTCGTCAACAATAAAGTAAATAAAGTTATTTTGTAAACGTGTCTTAATTTTGGCAACAGTTTCGATATAAAATTTATCTACAGTTGCTTTCCTGAGAGTGCTTTCGTCTGGAATGGTCCTTTTACAATATGTTTGAGCTCCACTGATTGACCTGTCTATGTCTACAACATCCGGCTTAAAGGTCGTTAAATAAAGAATTCCAGTAATACTCCTAATTGCGGGTGCCCATAAATGAAGTCTTGGAAAAACCCGTCCGCATTACTAGAAAACCTCGGTACTTATTTAACTGCATATTGCCAATAGCCAACTGTATTAAAATAGTATTAAAATTAAGATTTTCACCAATTACCAGGAAAAATGCAGCAAAAATTTAAAAATGTGCATGAAAATGCACTTGACTTTAAAATATGCAATAAATGTAAAAAAATAGTTAAAAATGCAGAATATGCAAAATTATGCCTTGATTATCAGAAACAAGTTAAAAGCGGTTACATGATGATAACAGCTCTACAGTATTTCCTCTTGATGTAATATAACGAAGATTAGTTGAACGACTTTTAAATCGTTTAAAATAGGCTACATTGTAGTAACGTGTAATCAAAAAGTTCTTAGGCTAGGAAATGGAAGTATCTTTCATTTCATTGATTAAATCGATGAACTTTATAAACACCAGTGTGAACAAATCGAAAATGTTAAAATCAAAATGAAATTTTTACCACCATGGCATCATCTTGCACAGTTTTCGGCATCTGTCTTCAAGCAACCCATCATTCATGAACCGGAAAACAAACATAACCTTATTCGAAATTTAATTTTAACGCCGCAGGTTTATTTAAAGAAATGAAAAACATTTTCATAGCTTAACCTATTCTGAAATTTTTCGATCCCCAGTTATATAGATCGCATGGTACTCTGAGTAAAAACACGCTGTAGTTCTTGCAGACAGTGATAGGT